TCTCTCTCTCTCTCTCTCTCTCTCTCTCTCTCTCTCTCTCTCTCTCTGTTGAGATGAGTTTTTACTATGTAGCCCTGGGTGGCCTAGAACATGCTATGTAAAACAAGTTGGTCTTAGATTCACTAATAGGTATAAGATGACAAGGAAGAATCTATAGAGAATGAACTTTAAGCTGCAGAAGTCAAGCTTAGTCATTATTTCTGTCATACAGTACTGACCTGACTACAACAGTCTGAACAAAAGAACAAGGAGGAGCACACTCAGCACTTTACAAGGACTGCTCCAAAACCAAACACAACAGAGCCAAGGCCACACCAGATGGCAAGGCCATTTCATGCACCTGCCCCTCAGTCACCCTCCAGAGAAGGAATGGTCCCTTCCTTTCAGATATGGTGCTTCCTACCTGTAGTGCCTCCAGCCGCATGGGGGATGGTTCATAGGTGCTTCCCATGGTGGAGCCAGCATCGCTACCCGAGCAGGAATCCTCTTTGGGCAGTACCACAGTGGAAATGCAGAGTCGGATGAGCCAGCAGGGTTCTGACAACCCCTTTGGTGAGCTGAGCGATGGTTCTTCCAGAGAGGGTCCTGCAGGGAATGTCTTCCAGCCATCAGGAGTGCTGAGGTGAGGGGTTGCTGAGCTGCTGCTGCTGAGTCCAGAGGAACAGGGCTGTTGAAGAAGCAGCTGGACTTCTGGCAAAGGCGCGTGAGTGGACACTATAGCTCCTAGGAGCGTGAGACTTGACACTCGGACATTAACATCTGTCCAAAGAAAGGCAGGGCCTATCACCATGGAACCACTGACATAAGGGCTGCAGTTATCGCTGCTTGCAATTAAGAACTGCTAGATTCTTTTTAAATTACGTATAATCAAGTTTCTAATTTCATTTCATAGGAAAGAAGGGACGATATCATGAAGAAACAATCTGAAAAATCAAGACCATTAGACATTCTACGAGACAACTTGACTAGGAGTACCCAAATGAGAGGACTAGAAAAATCACTAACAGCTGGTGGGGCTTCTTCATTTAAAAAGAGCGCAGCACCCAGGCCTGGAGCGGGACTCGTGGAATCCTAGCGCTGGCTCCTGCAGAGCACTGGAGTTTGGTCTCTGAGACTCCGTGTCCTGCTGACCTCATACACACCATATAACTACCCAGAGTCACAAAAGGAAAACCAAAGAGCTGTTACAATCCTGGAGTGCTTCACACAGTAGCAAAACGTTACTAATCCATCCACCTCAATGATCATGGGAGTTAAAAGAAAAAGCTATAAAAAACAAATAAACAAAACAAAATTTAAAAAACAAACCAGGGCCAGAGGGATATCTCAACAATGGATGCAACTGCCTGTAAGCACGAGGCCTGGAGTTTCGATCCCCAGAACCCACAAAACTGCTGAGTGGGTATGGCGGTCCACTCCTAATTCCAGTGTTCAGAAGACAAGAGATGGGAGCCTGGGAAGAAAACGTCTAGCCAGAGCTCTGGGAGCAACTGAGAGATACCGTCTCAATGAATAAAGTGGAGGGACTTCAGAACACGCCGCCCGACGTCAAGCTTAGTCTTCACATGCACACACTTATGCAAAGGCCCACAGACACACACACTCCCACCACACATACAGACACACACCACACAGACACACGCACTCACACCATACTCACACCACACAGACATAATAAACGAGAAAAAGGAAAAGCTGACAGGCCCACACTTGGGCTCAGTGTTTTGCAGTGGCTGTCTAGCTGCCCCAGCACCATTGGTTGAAGAGCTGCCTCGGCCCTTTGCTGTGACCAGCTGTGGAGGATGAATGTGGGTTTACTTGTGGGCTCTGTATTCTCTTCTACTGATCTACGTTCTATACTGCCTTTAGTATAGTTAATAGTACGCTCTGAGGTACTGACACGCTCAGGTGGTTATTTTTTCCTCCCTGCAAACACTGAAGATTGAACCCAGGATTTTGCACATTCTAGGCAAGTGCTCCACCACTGAGCTCAACTGTCAGCCTAACTTCTCTACCAATACTGTTCCATCTCTAGGTCTTCTGCTGGATATACTTGAGAACCTTTTGCTGGCATTTTGATTGGGATTACACTAACCCTTCAATCAAGTTGGAAGAACAGAGATGGAGTCCTGTTCACCAAAAAGGGCTCTTCCATTTCATCCATCACTTTATAAGTGTCCAGATGAACCTTCTATAAATTTCTTTAGGCTTACCCCTAAGTATATTAGACTTTAAACATTTTAATAACAAAAACATTCAAGTATAAAGTCAAGTATAAAGGGCCTGTTGAGATGTGGGGGCTTTAGATGGAAATAAAGAGAAACAGATATAGTTAAAATTAGCCGCTGCCTGCATCAGAAGACTTGGGGGGGGTTGTTTGTTTGTTTTTGTTGTTGTTTTATTTTGAGAGAAGTTTTCTTCTGTGTAGACCTGGCTGTCCTGGAACTTGCTCTGTAAATGAGGCTAGCCTTGAACTCTAAGATCTGCTTGCCTCTGCCTCCAGAGTGCTGGGATTAGAGCTGTGTGACACCATTGCCCAGCTGAGAGGTGGGTTCTTTACTGTGCTTTGGCCATCACTGATGAGAGACCTCACTTCAGGATTTATCTTTTTATCACTTATGGACTGGTGTAAGGAGTAGGTTGCACTCAGCCTATCATCTGAGCCTTAAGAAAATCTTACAGAACAGGGACAGGTCTTCCTGTTGGGAGGACACTGGGGTTCTGCACGGGCCATGGATGTGAGGAGAGAAGTGGGAGCTGGTGTGGATCCTCGGACTCTGGGCCGTGTCCCTTCCACAGCGTTCCAGAAAACACCTGCTCGCTCTGCCTCCTTACTGAAAACTCAGACTAAGAACAAGTCTGATCTGAAATCTTGCAAACAAACAAAAAGGAACATTCTAAAGGCGAGTGCTCACAGCTCACATACCTTATGTGTGGAAAAATCCAAGACTCACAGCACTAAGTCCACAGTTAGAGATGTGAACTAACTTCAGAAGGCTTTACATGGACTTCACAGATCACAGTACAGAAGTCAGGTTCTTGTACGACAGTTTTTCTTCCCAATACATGACACCTACTTCCCTCCCTCCCTCCCTCCCTCCCTCCCTCCCTCCCTCCCTCCCTCCCTCCCTCCCTCCCTCCCATTCTGCCTACAGATGTTGATTCCTATGCACTGACACAGCCTCTTGTACTCACTCCTACTCTGAGATGCGGTTTCTTTACTGTGGAGAGTCAGGCTCTCAACTCAAGGTCAGTTCTGCTCATCTCCTTCCCAAATGGCCTTCTAGCAATGGTTGATAACCTTTAACAGCTGAGACTTTCAGAGACCTCAGAGCTGGAGAGAGGCACTGAATCCTTACTTCTCTTTCTTTTAAACACTGCTACTCCACATTTGATGGCTATAAAGACGCCGACCGCACTACCAACCTTTGTGGCGGATGTAAGGCTTTATGTGGTTCCAGACTTTGGTCAGCAGGCTGAGCTTCAGACGGTTGTAGGGGGCGTTTGATACTAGATTTGCGAGGCACTGCAACAGAACAGCAATATACATTTACAATATTTAATTTGAAAGGTCTTTTAAGTAAAATTTTTTTTACATTTATTTTTCTGAGTGTGTATGTGTAGGTTAGAGGGCAGTTATGGGAATCTGTCCTCTCCTACCACATATTCTGGGGTCAAACCTGGCAAGCACCTTTACCCACTGAGCCATCCCACCAGCCCTCCCTCCCCTCATTTTTAAAGGTCTTTATACTAAGTGAAAACTAGTCTTTTTAATGTCTATAGTTATATTAAAGAGGTATAGACTTCCAAACAGGTGTCCTTAATATAACTATTACTTATACTCTTAGGTCGAATTACTTTTAGATGATATGTAGCACTATATACTATATTAACTGAATTCTGCAGGTAACTAGGGACTTACCTTAATTATTTGAGTAAGGGTCTGGGACGAGGACTCTGCCACCAAAGCTAACAAAAGACATCTGTGCAACTCTCTAATGCTGGATGCAATCGTGACAGAGAAGGGCGTGAAAGCCCGTTTGTGGTCACTGGTGTCTTCAGCAACAGAAAGGAACTGCTTTGAGCCTTCCAAGATGGCAGACAGAACTTGAAGAGCACAGGCACGCGTCTGGAATTTCAAGATGATTCACACTGATCAGTCTGAAGTCGGGATCCAGGCTCCCTTCCTCCTAACCACACTCAATGCTCCACGTATTCAGAGCCAGCTTATTGGAAGAATGAAGGCAAGAGAGGGCGTAGTGGCTACTGAGGGCAGCTATAAGTTACTACACATAAGGAGATCCTCGAGCACACTACCATGGGACCACAGTGAGGTGGAACTCCAAGGTCTACCACAGCACGCAGATCTGCATCCTGAGTGTGGGGATGAGGAGAGATTAGAGCCCTTCATAACTAGGCACACAGCTGATGGAAAGAGCCCGACAGCTTCTGGGATGAAAGATACAAACATCACAGTTTCAGTGGGGCTCAAAGGAGACAGAAGTTACAGCTCAGTAAGGTCTGACTTCAAAGACCACTGGGCTTAAGATGTTATCCTACCATGTACCCCACAGAAGCCTGAGCCCTTGTCATTTCCTGCCTATTAAGGCTCTCAAGTCAACACCTGGGATGGTCTCAGTGAGAGCAGAATTCAGAGATCAGACAGCGCAAAGGGGGAAAAGGACACAAAATGTGACTTCTCATAAAGCTTTGGTTCAGAATCCTTACCTTTGGAGATGGATCCTTTAGTGTAAGTGTCATTAAGGACACAGACTGTGGGCTTCCAAGCTCCGGCGTGTCAGGAACAAAGGCAGACCAGTAGCCATATAGAACTTTTTTTTCTATTGATTTGATAGTAGAAAGAAAACAAGCCAATGCTCCTTGGCGAACCTTGGCTTGGTATGACCTTTCAGAATGAGAAAACAAGGTTTACAAGTTTTTAAGAATGTGAATGGAAAGGCTATTTATTCTAACCAGTTCAGATGCTCTGAGAAATTAAACATCTCCTGAATATCCCTAAGGATGTTATCATCCCTTTCAAAGTATGATCAAAACATGTTACGTATTTTTGCTACAAGCTATTAAGGGTGATTAAAATGCAAGCAGGCAGAGAATAAGAGAGTAACATTTTGATTAGAAAACTGGAATTAGACAAGGACAGTGCAGAGTATTCATGCATCTGCTCAGTGGATACCGCGAGTAACCTTATATGGGTCACAGTGCTTGAGGTGGCCACGCACAAAGCCCCTGCCCTTGACACACTTTTTAGTGGCAGTGACAAATGATTCAAGAAAGAACTGTCAGGCTGGAGAGATGGCTCAGCAGTTAAGAGCACCGACTGTTCTTGCAGAGGTCCTGGGTTCAATTCCCAGCAACCACATGGTGGCTCACAACCATCTGTAATGAGATCTGGTGCCCTCTTCTGGTGTGCAGGCATACATGTAGGCAGAACACTATATACATAATAAACAAAATCTTTTTTAAAAAAGAAAAAAAGAAAGAAAGAACTGCTATGTACTTCCCATGACACTAGGGCAAAGATTAATTACAGGGTCATGTAACTGAGAGCCTAAGCCAGAATGAAGGTGTCAGGGAAGTTTTCCAGAAAAAAAGACTTGTGAGTGCACTCTGAAGAGGATGAGAGGCTAACAAGACAGACAGGGCAGACAGCAGCGTTCACACGGCAGATCCACCAAGTCAGCGAACAAAAGAGAGGTCAAGGTCAGCGCCACACAGCAGGCAAGTTCTAAAAGTCACATGCAACTACAAATATCAGGTAGAACATCCTAACAAAATACTACTACCTCATTTTACCCTGCATGCCTCCTTCTGCATCCGAATAGTCTGACTCACTGCTGCTGACTCTTTTCCAGCTGGAGGAGGCAAAGGGCAAGGAGGCCTGCTCTCTTCCGGCAGCTCTGCCTCCATCCACAGGCAAACCCTGGGAGCCCCAGAGGGAGGAGCACCAAGCATTCTCGCCACATGTGTTCGCCTGGTCCATGCTGAGCCCTGGTGCTGCTTCTGTTTCACCACAGGGCTCCTCCTCGTCCTCCACTTTCTCCCCTTGTTGGGGTTTCTTTGGTTTTACTTTGTGTTTTTTCTTTTTGATCTGATTTTAGGAGCAAACAAAGACATAATATGTAATACATACATATATACATACATACACATATGTATAAATATATATTTACATATATACATTATGATAGTGGTCCCAAAACTACTTTTCACTGAAATCATTGGTACTTTTTCATTTGACAGTGACTGGGGATGTTCACACATGCAGTATGAGGAAAGGTGAAGAGGACAAAACCAGACAGAGGTGTGACGCCCCGCATGATGAATGACGCACACTACGGGACATACACCTGTATACCGCAGGTCTCCAAGGGGGCTGGGGGAGGAGACAGCTGTCTAGAAGGGAGGGAAATATGACGGTAGCATGGCAGAGCCAGTGACCTGACAGGTGGGTGGACTTCAATGGCTCTAGAGAAGAACTGCCACATTATGAGCCTAAGGATAAATGCAGCTGCTTCCATTACTAAGCTTTACTGGAAGGCAGCCACACCCATCTGCTTCTGCGGTGAGTCCCTGCCTGCTTTTGTATTCGGGTACCTGTGACAGTCAGCCCTTTACAAACAGGAGTGTACTGACTCTTCTTGCTTTGGAGAGGCCAGGGAATGAGCCTTCAGTGATGGATGTAAAGCAAATGCTTGTAGCAGTTACATTGCCCAGACCACTGAAGCACAAGCGCTCCAACTGGTACTCCCGGAAATCTGACTGATTTAAAATTTCTATATTAACCACAGTAACTTGCAAACAAGCTCTTAGTGGCATCTTGAGGCAGTTGGGAAGCAAATCATAGAAAGCATACATAGCTACAGAGCAAGCACTTGAACGCTCCCCAGCTGAAATCTGCTCAGTGGACAGACACGTACCGCACATGGTCGAGCAGCACTGGAGTCTGGTTGCTGGGGTTTAACAGGTGATCTCCCATCGTACTGAGGAAGTGGAGTTGGGTATAGCACTGTGGGCATCTCTATGTTTAGTCCAGGGAGTCCATGAAACATGGCTTTCTAACAGTGAAGAGCAAGGAAAAACAAACACCACATAAATCACAAAACAATCAGCATGTTCTCATCAGAACACAAGCAGACCAATGTTTTAAAAACTATTTCAGAATAAAAATGAGACAGTAAATACTGAAAGGTGGGTGCTCTAAGGAGTGTTTAATCTCATTCTTCACCTCCCACCATGTTCCTGACTTCATCTGATTTTGGAAGCTAACCAGGGTTGGGCATGGCGGAGAAGAGCTTCATCTTATCTGGATGCAGCTGGATCTGCGCTGGCCACAGCAGATTAGATGTCGTTCTAGAGTGTCTATAATTTTTGTTTATCAAATCACTATTATCTAGTTATGTTTTATTAATCATAAATTGTTTAAACCAATTTATTATTTTTCTAAATACCAATCCTTTAGATTTATGTGCACGAGTGCCCCACCTGCATGTATGTAGACCATGTGGGTACCCAGAGCCTGTGGAGGTCAGAAGAAGGGGTTGGATCCCCTGGAACTGAAGTTGTGAATGGTGTGAGTGACCAGATATGTGTTGGGTCCTTAGTGAAAGGAACAAGTACACTTAACCACTGAGCCATTTCTCCAGCCCATAATTTATCATTTTTATGTATTTTGTATGTATTTTTATGTATTTCCACATCTGTCTTAGTTAGGGTTTTATTGCTGTGAAGAGACACCATGACCAAGACAACTTTTATAAAAGCAATCATTTAACTGGGGCTGGCTTAGTTTCCGAGGTTCAATTCATTATCGTCACGACACCACGTGGCATCAGGCAGGCAGAGCTGGTACTAGAGGAGCCTTGAGTTCTACATCTTCATCTGAAGGTAGCCAGGAGAAGACTGTCTCCCAAGCAGCTAGGAGAAGGGTCTCAAAACCCACCCCCACAGTGACACACTTCCTTTAACAAGGCCACACCTCCTAACAGTGCTACTCCCTGGCCCCCATAGGCTCATTCAAAACATGAGTTTATGGGAGCCATACCCAGCTATAGCATAATGAAAAATACATTTAGTCAAACTTCAAAACTTCCCACAGTCTATCACAGGCTCAACAATGTTAAAAGTCTAAAGTTCAAAGGCTCCTCTGAGATTTAAGCAATCTCTTAACTGTAATCCCCTATAAAACCAAAATCAAAAGGCAGATCATATACTTCAACATCACAGGATATACATTACCATTCCAAAACATCACAGTGAGGAAATACTGGACCAGAGCAAGACAGGAAACCAGCTGGGCAAACTCCAAACTTTGTATTTCTATATCTGATATTAATAAGCTCTTCAGATCCACAACTCCCTTCATCTTTGTTGACTGCAACAGCTTCTTTCTCCTGTGCTGGGTCCACTCCCTGTTAGCAGTTTTCCTCAGCAGGTATCCCATGGCTCTAGCATCTTTAACATCTCGGCCTCTTTGTGGTAACTTGAACTTCACGTTCTTGTTTCAATGTTTGGAATACATACACGATCTTCTGGGCTCCTCCAAAGGGGTTGGGTCACTTTTCTAGCTTTACCCTCTGTAGCACTCCAGGGTCTAGTTGACTACACTCCACTATTGATGCTGTTCTTGGTAGTCATCCTATGGTACTGGCATCTTTAATACACTGGGGTCTTCTGCCGCAACTACTTTACCAATAGCCTCTCATTGGCTTTCTTCATGATGCCAAGCCTCAACTCCTTTGCATGATTCCTTTAGTCCTGAGCCATCAACTGCAACTGAGGCTGCACCTTCACCAATGGCCTTTCCTGGTCTCTCACAGTACCCAGCCTCAGCTGCTCTTCATGGTCCCCTCATAACTTCAAAACAGTACTATTTGGGTGACTTTTTACTGTTACCAAGTCCAGCTGCAGCATGAGGTACAACCTTGGTTATCTCTGGAACATAGCTTCTTTGTGCTCTCAGAAAGTACTTCCCAGAAGACTTCATCTCAGTGATACTGGTCCCTTCTTAATTGCCACTAATTTCTTAGCTCCAGCTAGCCAGCATCAATTGTCCCAGGAGCCCCCTCTATTCTTGACTCTAAAGACAGAGCCACATGGCGAAAGCTGTAGAGTACTGCTGCTTGGAACATGGCCCCTTGTTCTATTATGTCATCACCAGCTTTGTGTACTCTTGCACTGGCTAAGCATGGCTGTCCTGGAACTTGCTCTGTAGACAGAACTTGAACTCAGAGATCTGCATGCCTCTGTCTCCTAAGTGCTAAGATTAAAGGCATGGTCTACTATGCTTAGACCTAAACTTTTCATGGCCACTATGCCTCAAGATCCAGATCAAAAGCCCCAAGATCTGCATAACAGGTGTACCCTCCATTTCTGGATTGAAGTCATTTCACATTAAAAGTCCAAATGAAAACAATAATCAGGTAATAATAATGCCTAACATGATGTAACTATCCCCTGTTCAACTGCAAACATAAACAATAAGCTTAGCTGGGTGGGATCTTGTCCAGAGGTCACCACTCCCTAAATTCCATTTAAAATCCTTGAACACAGGATTTAGCTCCATTGCACTTCCTGATGCCCATTTAATACTTCAACCATTAATTTTGCAGTTTTCCTTTCTAAGCTTGCTACAACTGATCAAAATGTTCCTTATAAAAGTGAACCACAGGACAGAGTGTACACTTGATTGATTTGAGATGTCCTTTGTCAATGCAGTTGATCTGAATCATTTCACCTTAGCTGCAGGTACACTTTTCAGACAAGAGCAAAAAGCCACCACATTCTTCACCAAAATATCAGAGTCTCTAGACCACATACTAAAATTCTCTGAAACATCTAGAGCCAGGCCCCACAATTCACATCACCCTCAGCACCAGTGTCTTCCATGTTCCTACTAGGATAGTCCATTGAGCCCCACTTAAAGCATTCCACTGCTGTCCAAATCCAAAGTCCCCAAATTCACATTCTTCCAAACAAAAACATGGTCAGGGCTACCAAAGTAATGCCCCAGTCCTGGTACCAATTTCTATCTTAATTATGGTTTCTATTGCTGTGCAGATGCACCATGACCTGGGAAACTCTTATAAAGGACAACATTTAGTTGGAGCTGGCTTACAGTTTCAGAGGTTCAGTCCATTATCATCATGGTGAGGAAGCATGGCATCCTGTAGGCAGACTTGATGCTGGAGGAACCATGAGTTCTACATCTTGATCCAAAGGCAGCCAGAAGAAGACTGTGTCCTAAGCAGCTAGGAGGAGGGTCTCAAAGCCCACCCCCACAGTGATAATACTTCCTACAAGGCCACACCTACTCCAACAAGGCCACGCCTCCCAACTGTGCTACTCTCTGGGTCAAGCATATTCAAACCACCACAATATCTGTCTGTCTTTATTCAGGGATTAAGAGAAAATAATTAAGATATTGGTCATGAAGCTAGACTGTAACAAATGTCTTTCACCTGAGGTGAGCACTGAGACTCTGACTCTTCCTGGCTGAACTGAAGGGTGCTGGACCTCTCAGGGTGGTCTGACTTTCCCACTATGTGCAGGCTCAGAAGCTAATAATGGCAGCTTACTGCTCCTTCAGAATACAAAGATGAAGGTGGGTTCAAGATGATCTGTAATTAAATTATCTACAGATCATATCTCATCATAGATTTCTAAGATTCAAAAGCAATTCTTAAAACTTTGATATGTTTGCTTGATGGCGGTTGTCCTCTGCTCTCAATTTTATCTGAGAATGCTTGAACATGAGCATTTTATTCTGCTCTTAAAATCCAGTGAGAAACTCTATACCCCCCAGTTAGCTGAAGAGGGGGGAGAGGATATAGGGCAGCCCCCATACTTGAGGTGTGAAACAGGAAGGGAGGTCCCTCGGACCCTTGGTGAAGACATGCCTCACCTTTAGCACAGCGAGAAGTGCTCCCAGGTGCTCAGTCTGCGTCAGTCTCATTTTCCCACCATTGAGAAGCGACTGTATGCCTTTCAGTGCATTCTGTAACAGCTGAGGGTGGGGAGGCAGAGATGCAAGTTAGAAAGCAGAATAAAGTCTGGTTCCTCTGGAATAAATTGGTAGCAGTTAGAATGGCAAAGGAAAACGTCCCCTCCACGGTGAAAACCTTTTTGGAGCACGCAGCAGAGACAAGGACCCAGAGGACAGACCTGAGTTCTCTTACTCTGAGTTCTCTTACTGAGCAGTCTTATGTACACACTTACAGACCAAGTGTAAATGGTGAACCAGAAAGGGAGCAGCTGAGACCATGGGAAAGGTGCAGAGGGCCTGTGGGACAGCTTAGCAGGGACAACCACCTGCCACCAAGTGTGGCGACCTAATTTCAGTTCCCAGGACCAACATGATGGAAGGACAGAACCAAACAACTTCCCCAACATCCTCTGATCTCAAAACAATTGCCATGGCATGCCTATATGCTCACACACACACACTAAAGTGCCATCTAAAAACGTTTTAAGGACCAGAGAGGTGAAGGGACAATCTCTGTAAGAAAGCACCCTGAGTGGCTTGGGAAGTCGAGGCATGGGTGGGGTGGGAGGGTAGCTCTGATCACCACAGATTTCTCAGCTCAGTAACCTCATCTTCAGGGCTCTGTCCTTCAGAAATACTCTGCACAGGGGAGGGTGTGAACTAGAGATTTGTTAAAACAGTGGGAAAAGTTAATTTTCATGATTATGGCTACAATGATGATACAAGAAGCTAATGCTTCCTAACTGTGAAACTCAACAAGGACGTGACTCAGTCACACACTTTAAATGCTGTATCTTGTGCACCGAATAAGAGCCTCACAATATGGTTTTATCAGTCCAATTTTAGGCCAGAACATGGAGACACCAGGGCATAATTACCCCAATTATTCTGTTGCCATTAGAAACCATGGTATGTATATATATAAATATGCACTGGAAAGCTAAGAGCCAGTAAAACATAAAAAAAGGGAGGGTTATAAAACAGTCCATCAATGATACATGTGCCGCTCACTCAGCCTGGAGAATCAAGCACTTTCAGTGCTCGGATGTGGGCCTGGTGCCAAAAGCAACTTTTATTATCTTGGATCTACAGTGTTTGAGATGTATACTTCTTAATTTAAAATATGCCCACATATTACCGTATTTGTCATGAAAAAGATATTGTTGAGCAGATTTTCTCCTTTTTACCCTAAAGTCAATCATGATCATTGTATTGTTTTTAAACATGGGAGGAGAAAGAATATGGGCTTTTAAGTTGTCAAAACAAAACTGAGAGCAAACCAAAGAAAGCAAAACTGATCCTTATCATTTGAATCCAAAGGTGTGGCTTCAGTGCCGCTGACATATAGACACCATTCATACCCACAGAGATCTGACTTCAGTGCCACTGACAGATAAGACACCATTTACACACACATACACACACACACACACACACACACACACACACACACACACGCATGCATGCACGCACATCCTGAAGCCTCTGTCCTATGCCTGCAACACTCAGATGCCTAGGAGCAGCCCCACCTACCATGCAAAATGTTATATCATCCATATCAGATGATTTTGGAGACTGTAAAATGGTCAAGAAAGCTTGGAAGCAGACATGCTGGTAGGACTCCTCCAGGTATGGCTGTCCTGGCACACTGAAACACATGTAGAGGAGACAATTCAGTTGTCTTTGAAATGGTGCTTCCAGAAGAGCGAGCATTAGCAACGGCAATGCAGACCGGTAAGTCTAGAACACGCCCCGAATACCCACTCTGGCTGACTAGTTGCTGCTGTACTGGCACAGGTTTGAACATGCATGAAGAAGTAAGAGAAATTTCTAAAAGAAAATGTCACAGAAGTGTAGTCCAGGAAATGTGGGGAAGAAACAATCTGTTTTTGTTCTGCCCTTCAGTCACAGGTGGGAAATAATGCAGACAGATCTTTCAGACAACATGACTGAGTCTGCCTTCCTAGGCACTGGAAGGCACAGTGCTATCCAGAGACAAGGTCAAGTTTGTGCTGCCCGTTTGCTATTGCATACTACAGACCTACTCTAATTCTTAAAGAAGAAACTGAACTTAACAGAAACTCTCACAAGAGCCTAAATTCACATGAATATTCTTCCTAAAAGAATATGGTTGAAATTTACACCAGAAGAAAATAAAACCGACATATTACATGCCTAACACTTCTAGCATGCATTTCTCCCTTCACTTCTTGATGGTCTTTAATTAAAACAAACATAAGACAACTTTGTTGAGTGGCATGGGGAATGTAAACTAGGTTCTTTTTCCTTCTGTCAAAATAAAAGCCTGTGGCCCACACTGGTCTGGAACTTGCTCTGCGGAACAGCCTTAGATAAGCATCCTCTTGCCTCTGCCTCTTGAGTGCTAGGTTTACAGGGATGTGCCGCCAGGCATAACTTAAGTTATGCCAGTTTTCTAAGTCGGCTTCAGGCAGATAGAACAACCTATAGAGGGTCCGAGAGACGGCCTACCTTCTACTACTGGGAAACCTGGATCCACATACCTGAGACATAAGTTTGCCATACAATGCACTGCAGCTCTCCTGACTTCAGGATCAGAATAAGTCAAGTCACTCAACTTCATCAAGAGGCCACTCTTGCCTAGCAAGTCTGGGAGATGCTGAAACAAAATATTAATAGTATGTGTCTAAGAACAGCCTCTAGGAAGACTGTACTTGGTAGACAATACTTTAACTAAAAGGCAGTGAACTATCAAAAAATGAACTATTAGGTAAATCCTTCAATGGCTACCCAAACGTATGCCAGAAATCAGTGGTAAGAATCATTACCAGGGCATTGCCGGGGGTCTTTGGTCTTGGCTACATGGACAGGGCACTGCCGGGAGTCTTTAGTCTTGGCTACATGGACAGGGCACTGCTGGGGTCTTTGGTCTTGGCTACATGGACAGGGCACTGCCAGGGGTCTTTGGTCTTGGCTACATGAACAGGGCACTGCTGGGGATCTTTGGTCTTGGCTACATGGACAGGGCACTGCCGGGGGTCTTCGGT